CGGGCGGGGAGGCGGCCCGGGCGCTAGGGGGGGCTGTCGGACCGCCGGGCCCACGCCGCCCCGGGGGCTTCCGCAAGCGAGAGCGGAGCCGGGCAGATCTAAGGGCGCTGGCAAAATCGGAGCCCGCTCCGGACAGGTTTTGCGTTCGGGAGTCAAAGGGAAGACTGCTTCGCTCTGCCTCCCCTTTACATCCCTTCCTCGCCGCCGCGGCTTGGGGGAGCGGCGATAGGGTGCTGCTGTGCGGGTTTTTCCTCCTGTAGGAAAGGTCAAGGTGCGATGGCAATTTGCATCCTCAAAAACAGACAAAAACAGCCCCGGTATAAAAGGACGAGGATGGCTTTGTATAAATGCAGAAGGAGGAAGAAACATTTAATCTCCCTGGACCTCTCTTAATTGTCCCTGCCAATTGCAGGGGGAAACTACAAGGCATTAATCCTTGGTCCTCGACTCACAGGGACCAGGACCAGCCCAACAGCTTATAAACCAACCAAAACAGCAACACACTGTGTTCCCTATTGCACCAAGAAACCTAATTCCAGTGCCTCACGTGCCCCTGGATCCATAGAATCACAGAATCATAGAATCGTTAAGGTTGGAAAAGACCCTTAAGATCATCGAGTCCAACCGTTAACCTAGCACTGCCAAGTCCACCACTAAACCATGTCCTTGAGCGCCACGTCTGCCCTTCTTTTAAATACCCCCAGGGATGGAGGCTCAACCACTGCCCTGGGCAGCCTCTTCCAGCGCCTGAGCCTTCAGTTGCATTTTTACCGCCTTGTTCTGAAGTTCCTAATTTTGCTGCCAAAATGCAGCAAAGTAGAAAGCTCGCCTTCCCGTATGACTCTCCCAGCGTCCCCGCCAACCTGTCCTGTGCTGGGAACAGCAGGCCCTCCATTTGATTCCCCAGGGCACAGCCCTGACTGGTTTATCTCAAACTCGTTAGCCACGAGGCAGAGTAAGAGGAGAGTGATTACATAGCAGGTGTTGCCCTTGACATTATGCTTCCACGATGAGGAGAATCAATATCTCTGAATTACCATTTCAGTCATTCCCTTGGGGCACAGCCTGTGCTGGAATAAAGGTGCCGTCCCTCGGGGCTGGATCACCACATGCAGAAGAAACTGGCGCTTACAGCTAAAGCAGAGGTCTGGAAGAAGACGTGCTGAAGGTATCATTAAGAGCCTTTGTTTCCCTGCCTGTAACACAGCCTCTGGTATGACCTGGAGAAGGTTATTTCAGTTTTCTGTGCTTTGTTTTTTCCCCTTCCCATCAACAGGGACAGCGTGGGCCTTCCCACCCACTGAGATGCCAGGAAGATAAATTCCCAGTTATTTGTAAGACTGTTGAAAACGCACCAGAGAAGCACAAGAGAAATACCGAACAGCTTCAGTAACAAATCAACTATTTTAAAGCTTCCCGGAGGAAGCAATTATTTGGAGCCAAGTTACGTTTACGAGGGGAGACACAGACTGGTAACAACTTTGTCTGCAGAGCTGAACCCAGGATCATAAATCTCTTGGAAACAGCCATTGCAGAGACATTGCTGCCATCCTGCGCCAGGCAGCTCATGGAGACGGAGGAAAGTCGTCTGCGCAAGATTGCTGTCCTGTCCCACCCGCAGGGAGCCCCCCGCTGCCCTGCAGCACCCAGGGACAGGAGCACGAGGTAGGAAACCCGGCGCTGTCGCCCCTTGGGTGCCAGGCTGCCGCTTCTGGCTCCCATTGGGCTTGTCCAAGAGGGCTTCGCTGCCTGAGTTTTCCTCCCCAGGAAAATTCTGCTGCTCCCAAACCTGGCCCCTGGTCTCCTCAACATGAGG